GTAAGTAATGGCGTTAGGTTAATCGGTGGTTCTAAATTGCCCATAAGTATGAATGTGAGTCTAAATGGTTGTCTGTGTTAGTCCTTTGTCAGATTGGCAACCTTTCCAGGATGTACCGTGCCCTCTCGCCCTATTATAGCTGGGATAGCAATATCCATCCATCTATCTCTTCCACTGAAGAGATAGATGGATGGACATTGCATTGGAAAGGTTGTAGTCTCATAGCATGACACTCGTGTAATGAAAAGGAGAATGCATATAAAGCATAAATATTTACTACGTTTCTGTTCACCTCCAAACTGTGATGAACTTTAATGTTCTTTACAGAAAGCAGAGATTTTCCTTCCACTATAATTCAGGACTTTGCAACAGCTTCCTTCAGTTTCTGCGATGCGTTTTCAGGTCTCGTTTTATAATAATTTATAATAATAATAATAATAATAATTATATCATCTTTTACTGTGTTGAAACTGATCAGACTACCAGTCCTGAACAAAGAAATCTATGGGATGTCAGACTCATATGCATTCACCTCTGTTATTTGCTATAATAAAATTGTATTGAAAAGCTAGATAAATATGGCGTACCTACTCTTTGTATGCATCATTTTTTAAAACTTTGGCTCTGTAGACCATCACAGTGGATTTTAAACCAATCAATCAATGTGTGACTGAAGTGCAGACTTTCAGCTCTAATTAAAGGGCTTTAACAGAAGTATTGTGTGACTGTTGCATTGAAATCTGCATTTAATTATGAGTCATTATTAATCTCTGGCTCTCTTCCATATGATATCTTTTATCTTTTCTCCTTTCCCACAACCCAGATGGCTGCCCCTACCTGAGCCTGGTTCTGCTGGAGGTTTCTTTTTGTTAAAAAGTTTTTCTTCCCACTGTCACCAAAGTGCTTGCTCACAAGGGATTGTTTGATTGTTGGGGTTTCTCTGTATTATTGTGTCTTAACTTTACAATATTAAGCACCTTGAGGTGAATTTTGTTGTGATTTGGTGCTATATAAATAAAATTGAATTCAATTAAATAGAATTACAAAAATAAATAAATAAATAAATAAATAAATAAATAAATAAATAAAAAAAATAGAATTACAACCATTTTTATGCACATTCATCAATATTCAAAGGCTCAAAAGGAACTTAACGAACGAACATAACGTTGATTATTGACTGCTTTATGTCTAAAGCCCCTGAACATCACCAAATGCTGTGGTTCCTCCTTTGCTCTACACGTCACCTGCTACTTCTATCAGCAGTCACATCAGCAATAAACACTAGTGATGCACTTCAAGTGGGAAAAAGGCCTAACCTGACCGTGAAACTGCTTCACAGCCAATTGTCCAATTGCTTTTGAGCTTCTTAAAGTGTATAAAAATGGCTGCAAATCCTAAACAGTTACTCTGATACTTCTGGTAAAACCCTAGAATTAAAGCTGAAAGCCTTCACTTCAATCACATTTTGATTGTTGGTTTAAAATCCAGTGTGGAGTTGCCAGTTAATGCAGAGGCCTGAGCTTCAATCTGCCTGGAGGCTATTTACTACATGTCTTCCCCTTGGTCTCTCTACCAGCTTTCCTATCACAAAATTGGTATCACTGTCTAAATACTTATGGACCCAAATGAATGTACTTAATGCACATAATGTGCTTTTTGTGTTGACAACCATAGTAAACGTTATACTGTACATGTTTCACTTAGAGTAGGCCACTATGGAAGCTAAATTCAATTGTAATGGTATGGAGGCACACAATTTCTGGTAATGACACTGACACATTGTAACCCAATGCCACTGGGAAACCAAGTGATGGCACATCAACCACTGCTTGCATGCTTGCCTCTGTCATATTGTCTGACATAATTTAAAGGCAGTACATTCCCCACGCCTCTTTATTTCCCTGTGCTACTCCCTTGATTGGCATCTGATCTGCTCTAATTACCAGCTGATGTTTAGTAAATCTGTGAGGCTCTTCATTGTTAGTGTAGGGATTAGATTCATCCTGTCTCGACACACTCTTTCAGTGAACACAAATATCATTTCTCCATCTCTGTATGCTTTCTCACATACCTTCTTGCCAAAGCATTCAGTCACAGTGTCCTTTGTTTCCACTCTGCACATCTGAAAATTAAAATCTAATTCTCTATAAATTTAGATTCTGCCATGTCACAAAGTGATTTTGTGCTTTCTGCTTGTAACCAACCTGTAATTTCTTGTACGTGTGAGATTTCACCTTCGTATGCAGTCCATAAACCTGCACATAAATTTCCTCTTGCATTGTCTCAGGCAATCTCTATCCCTGCATCTGTTCTCGTCTGATACATTTTTAACTCTTTGCACTCCTTCTGCTTTTTTCTTAGCATAAATTCAATAAAAACTGTACCTTCATAAATTTCTTATGAATAATGCATCACACAATATAACCCCACGGCTACTGACTACACACACTGAACATGCTGGTGCACGAGTGTGAGAAGAAAAGATTCCCGTGGTGCAGGTATTAAAGATGTTGTGGGGACCTACATCCATTTACTCACTTTCATTACGAGGACACGTCTTCCTTATGAGGACAATTATATAAGTCATTAATTCTTGGGGTAACATTTTTTTCAAAGTTCTGGAGGCGACGGGGTTAAATGGGTGGCACTTATGCTTAAGGTTAGAGTAGACTGTGATCGTTTGTGTCCTGGAAGAACAGGACAGACAACCTTGACTCAGCGTTATCTCTGCAAAATGACTCAGAAGCTGAAGCAACAAAGAGGTCAAACAGTCACCATGCCAAAAGTCGCCTGATGGAGGAGAAAAAAAGGAAAAGAAAATTCAAAGGGTTACTTTATGCATGGTGTCATTACTCATGAATTTACATTTTTTCCTAAACCTAATTGTGACTCAAGCTGTTTTCCTATTGTCTGTGCAGTATGCTGGTATAAGCTGGATACAGTTGTAACTACTCCTCTGTATCTTTTCAGATTAAAAAAAAAAAAACAACCAACCAAAAAAACAAAAAACAAAAGAAAACGAAAACAAAACAACTGGATTGTCTGGATTGTCAAACTGCTATATGAAAGGAACATAAGCGTATGCTTGTAGCCTGCTTGCTGGTATTTCACTCTGCCTGGAAACCTGCTTCAACAGTAGTCTGCATCGTTTTTTTCCAGCTATGTAACTGAGTGATGTCCTTGAATTCAGACCATGGGTTTACTGACATCTCAAAAGAGACTTTTTATGAATTATACTCACAGCATACATGTATTTTTTTCATATAGAAATGCACACACACACACACTTATATATATATATATATATATATATATATAAAAACGGACACATTAATATAAAAAAAATCCCTCCACCGCTAAGAGAAAGCAGTTATTACATTACATAAAAAAATATATTGAGCAACAGAGCACTGTATAGTAGACAAAGGAGTTTACTGCAATCCCTAGGTGTGTCTCACCATTAAATTTCCAAAGCAAATCAATCGTGCATTTCAAACCTTTTGCCTGTTTGTTTCATTTGTAAAGGATGAGACGTGCTGATAGCTGCTAGGGCTTTTTTATGCCTTGCCAACAGAGAGAAATCACGCATCTTGCACGTGTAATATGCACAAGTCGATCATTTTCTTTTCTTTGTTTCTCAGCACACACTGCCCTCTGGGTACAAATAAAATACACAATGAGTAACTGTGTTTAAGATCATTTGACAGGTACATTTTGAATCTTTTTTTTACAGAAAGAAGGGTTTATTTTTCTTCCTAGATTTTATTTGCATTTCTTTATTTTTCAGTTTAAATATAATTAGTGGCCTTATAGTGTTTTGGTTTACAAATGACAATTAAATTTTATTTACACAATGCTAAATGATTTATATCAAATATGTAAAACTTTTAAATAACATAGTGCTAAATCATAACAACCATAGTCAACAGCAACGAAGGCACAGATGAAGCGGGATCAACAAAGCAAGGCTGCATTCAACACCCTGCGACCCATCTGGAACTCCAAAGCCTTATCTCAGCGCAGCAAGATCTGCATCTTCAACAGCAATGTGAAAGCAGTCCTCCTGTATGGATCCGAGATCACTACCAGCAAGATACAGATTTTCATCAACAGGTGCTTGCGACACATCCTCAACATCAGATGGCCTGAGAAGATCTCAAACACAGACCTGTGGAAGAGAACCAGCCAGAACCCGGTCGGTCAAGACATCAAGAAAAAGAAAATGGGGCTGGATAGGCCACACACTTCGAAAACCACTCGACAACATCACAATGCAAGCACTGGACTGAAACCCACAAGGGAAAAGGAAAGTGGGGAGACCCAAACAGACGTGGAGAAGATCTGTCGAGAGCAAAGTGAAGGCCGCCGGAATGACATGGACCCAGATGAAGAGAACGGCCCAGAACAGAGTCCGTTGGCGTGGTGTTGTTGCGGACCTATGCTCCACCAGGAGTCTACAGGAAAATTGAAATCATAACAACAGTCACCTCAAGGTGTTTTTTGTTACAGAGAAAACCCCAGCAATCAGACAACCCCTTTATACAAGCACTTGGTGACAGCGGGAATGAAAAACTCCCTTTTAACAGGAAGAAACCTCCAACAGAACCAGGTTCAGGGAGGGTCAGCAATCTGCATAAAAAGCTTAAAAATCTGCCAAAGCAAACATACTGAGCTATTTGACTCCTTGTGAATATGGGAGGAGCTAAAAGTAGCTCTTATAGTTATTATTATATTTTATATTATATTATATTATGTTTTTATTTTATTCTTTAATGCTTAATTTCAATATTTGAATTTTATTTTTGCCTCAGTGTCTTGAATGGTACTTGTCAAATGCAAAGTTTAAGAACTTCTAATTATGTATGACAACACAAACACTGTGACACACTTCCTACAGTCATGTTGATGTTCCTATCTCAGTAAACACATGCACCAGACAAAATTGTTGAAAAAAGGAGAGATGTCCTGTATATTTTTTTTAAATATTACATTTATTGTATTGTTAGATCTGACAAAGGTTCATTTAATTTTTAGCTAAAGTGTAGTTTTCATTTTTATTTCAGTGCACTACGAGTCACGTTTACATAGTTTTCCTTCCATAGGCTTTAAAGTAAGGGGGCTTTTTCAACATTACATTTGACACATACATAAGGAGTGTTTGAGCTCATATTATTTAATACACCTGGGGTAACTTAAATCCTCATGATCCACTTATGATGGATAGGTTTGGTGCTCAACAGTTGAGCCCCTTGAGCATATCTCAGTCCACTCTGTGCGTGTGAGATATCTTCTTGCAAGTCGTTAGTCCATCGGCCAGCCGAGCAGCATGACTTGCAGACTGTACGTCTCCACTACCTGTGCTGCAGCGGATCATCATCAATCATAATATACCGTGGCTTTTGTTCCTGGTGGGTGTAACCCACACACTGTAGCGTAGACTCTTGTCTGGTGAAGGGGTGTGCGGCGGTGGGGGGCGTGTGCACGCGTGGGCGGGTACGTACCGACGTCACCACTGGGTCCTTGCTGTCAACGCCAAAATAAAAACGAGTAAAAAAAACAAAAAACTTTTCAAGTAGACTCATGACAGCGGGGAATCGGGGAAAGCCTCTCTTCTCCGGGCTGTAATGGTTGTTCTGCCACGTTGTGGTGTAGCAGCGGAGGTTGTTTTTCTTCTTCCCTGAGCTCGCACGGGGAAAGCCTGCGGGCTGCCTCCGATTAGCAGACTTGCTAGCTAACGTCAAGTTGGAAGAAAGTGGAGAAGACACGGGGCGAACCGGGAGCTCATCCGCCTACACAGACGCATGCGACGGATAGCAGGTACGAGAGCTCACCCATCTCCTTCCACCACATCAGACACAGCGCAGACTAAAAGCCTTGCCGTCTTTATTTTACTCAGTTTAGGCAGTTCTCCCCCGCACATACCTTAGGACTGCAACAGCTCCCGTGTCCCTCTCTCCTCCTGCCGTGGAGGCAGAAACAACAGGACACGTAGCAGTCCACACAGTTTGAGCTTTCTTCTGGAGCAACTTTGCTCTCCTGAAATCAGTCCGCTGCGCTTTGGCGGCTTGTTACAATCCGCTCAAAACCTCCTGTCTTTGTGTTGTTTAATACGCTGTGTTTCTCTCCCCCATTGTCAATGAGATTCCTATTTTTCGACACATTTTTTTTGCCATTCTCTTCAGCCGCCTGCAGTGCTTTTACGATGCATTTGCAACTACAACCCCCGCCAAACATAGTGGATTTATTTATGGGGGGTATTGCTGTTACATAGATCCATTTTTACTGTAAGCCGAACCCGCCAGTCGCCGATGAGGTGGTGCGGGCTGCACAATAGTCCAAATCAAAGAAGAGAGGGTTTGCTAAATCTGGGCATTTCTTCCAGCTTCAAACGGCAGTAGCCACCAGTCATGTATCAGTATTCGTGTCATGATCCTGCATGCTTGCTTGCTTGCTTGCTTGCGGGGTTTGGTGTGATGAAGCTGGCCGAAGACTGATCCTCCAACTCGGAGCGAGCCAGACCCATCCCTCTGCTGTAGCAATGCGGTAGACTGGGGGGGCCGGTTTAGATTTCCAAATCAAAAAGGAAGGGGGTGGGGGAAGAGTTGAAGCCCTATTATTTATATTTGGTCGATATGTCACAGGGTCACGGTTTGCTGACAGCAGCAGGATAGTCCAGCGGACCAAGGTCGGACGAGGATGGCAGAGCACTTCTCCCGTCCGACCTGTCAGCCGCAGTGAGGAGGCTCCGTGAGCTGCTCCTTCCCATGGGGCGCTATGAACCAGCCTGCCAGGTGAAGAATGCCAATGAATTATTCAGGCACATGCTGCATATGATCAGGGTTGCCCGGGAATGTGCGTAGCTGCTTCTGGGGACAATAAGAGCCCACCCCCCAAAAAAGAAAGAAGAATGGCCTGCCTCAGCTTCCCTGTTGAACATGCCAGATTTGAGAGAATGGGGCTTTGGAAAGCTGGAGTGGAGTTGCACTTCTTGCAGCGGCTTTGATTCTTGGTAAATGTGTTTATTTACTGCAGAGTGAAGTTTGTCCTACCGATGGGAGTTTGTGCAGAAGATTACTCCAGCGCTGTAATCATGGTCGACACTGAATTGATGCAGTGTTGCTCGTGGCACTTTGGCTTGAGGTGCTTTGGGTTTTTTCAGCAGGTTGTTCTTCCTTGGCTTTCACACAGCGGTGTATATGCACAGCACTGGACATTTTAATGTAGATGAAAAATGTTGGATACACACTTAGTAATATGGGTCAAACTGCTTAGGTTGCTTTGTAAACAGCATGATTTCACAAACTGTACAGCAACTGCTGTGTCTGCCAGTCAAAAGTAGCCCTTTTCTTGCGCAATACTATTTTTCTGGAATCACGTGGCTTGCATAACATTCGTTCATCCATTTATATATTTTTAATTGAGAATGGTAAAAAGACAGTAAATGCTTGCCATGTTTCCCACTGTGTTGCAGCCCCGCTTCTCTTGTTGAGGAGGCCAGTTGCTGTAGTTTGAAAAGTGAAAGGTTTCCGCTTCGTAGTTTGATATAGGATTTTAGCCACTCTATGGGCTTCCTTATTTTTATTTTATTGTTGCAGAATAATCTGAATGAATTGACTGCAGGCAGTTAAGCACCTGTAGGAGTGTGTGCGTATCCTTGCTGAAACAAGCAAGGCTTTCCCTGACACAGACTTAATAGCAGTGTATGATGCTACAAATAAATAAGTATTTCCACTAATCCACACTTAGTGGGTTTTAAACTTTGTGCTAATAACAAGCTGCACAGTTCCTCTCCTCTGTAGCCATGAGGATTCTGTGTCCAGAATTTCCTAATGAATTCAAGAGTTTCCACTTTGCTTCACTCGATCCTCAATGAGGCTTGGCCCAGAGGAGGCAGCAACGCTTCTGGATCTCGTTCGAGTTTTAACTTACGTGTGTGGATGTGGTGCTGAGCTGTGTCCACTGACACAGGTTTTCAGACTGTTTCTGAGCCCACATAGTGAGCCATTCAGTCCTGCATTACAGCCATTTAGTGCTGCTTTTCAGGCTTGTCCCTTGACTTCACAGGCTTATGTTAATCTTTTAGTAATATTGCGCAGTAAATGATCAAATCCTCCAGTTGGGGTTGGGCTGTGTCCACATGCACATGATATACACCTTTGGATTTACAAGACCAAATCTGTTTGCCTTGTCCAGGTGTATATGGAGAAACCGAGTTTCTTAAAATCCTTACATTGGAAGGATTTTTGTTTTAAAGATCAGTCACATAAAACACTGTTTATGTGTAAAGACATGGCAAAAATACATAGAAAGGGCTATGTTTACCAAAAGACTTACTTGTGTACATGTGGGCAGGGCCTTAAATCCTTGAACTGATTAACCACAAAGGCCTTCCCAGAGTAGTGACGCTTTTCCGGTCTTCTGAAAAACTCAGTCCATTTGGGATGCTCTTTTTAAGCTCAGCTATCTTACTAGTTAGACTAATTAGCAGTGAGATTTTTCACCAAGTCTTCTTTACATTTTTTTTGCTGGCAAATATCCCAATGTTCATGAAAGAACCGCTATCTCATATTTTTATTTTTTTAAGTACATTTGATCAGTTTTAACATTAGATATTACGTGTTTGTTGCAATTTTAAAGTCAAATATAACATTAAATAATTCCAAATATAAACAATGTTAACTCTAAGAATTTAAACTTCTCTACTTTTTACTCAGCGTCACAGTTTTTTGGGAAACGGGGTTTTATCAGGACAGAGTCCAGATCAGTGCTGACACAGGATGTGGTGATAACTGATAACAAGTCATTATGTGAATGCACTTCAGTACCCTCTGTTCCCTGTGAACTTTGGGTCTTTTTTGACCTCCTTTTTTAAAATTGTTTGTTTTAAACATGGACAATTTGGCTGTAATTGTGGTTGTGATCTGTTGAAGGGGGGAAGCTGAGAAATGCAAGTAATTTTTGCTTGCAGGAAACAAATAACAGGAACGGCAACACTCACAAGCTGATAAGTGTTGAGACTTGTAGTGCGAAGTCCTCTTAGAGAAGTGGAACTTCTTTAAATGCTATCTGTTTTTTCAACTTAGGGAAGTTCTCAGAAAAATGTCTGAACTTCTTGTTCTTGTTTAACGTAACAACCAATAGGACTACTGTCTGAGCTTGTATGAACTGATGAAAATCTATAACTACTCAAGGACTCATTAAAAAAAAGTCTCTGATTCAGTGGTTTTAGTGAGCGTGGCACCGTTCCCTCGCTGATTACCTGCGGTTTGAAAAGACTGGTTTCTGGTGCGATGACGTGAGTCAAAGTAAATAAATCTCATAAGCTACTCAAATATAGACTGTTCACAGTGTATGTTTACAATCGGTAGTTTGCTTAGCATTCCCTGGAACGGTTTCCTTTTAGTTCAAATTTGCCTTATCATTTTAAGATAAAGTGTCAGCAACATGGAAGCGAGGCAGAATGGCAAAGATTGAGTTAAAAAAAAAAGGGTTTAAGCCTAAACAAAGCTGTAACAACAAGCATTGTTTTAAGTAAAATACCGCCTGAAATTCTTTATGCAATCCCATGAGCTGAACTTGTTGCTTCATCTTGAAAATCCTCTTTCGCTCAGGCTTTGTTTTCTTCTCAGGGATTTTTTTGGTGTGTCCTAAACAACTCTCTGTAATCCCCTTGCAAAATGTGCATAATAACACAGAGCCTTTTTTCAGTTCTAAATGCTTAGCATCACGTATTCACACCCAGTAACTTCTTTTCTGTTTCTGCCACTCTGTTATCCTTAAAAGCTTTTTACCCCACCTTTTCCCACCGTGCCCTTCTTGGCTAAAGCGCTCATGTCACTTGCATTAGACGGCTCATGTCTTCAGCTTATATTTCTTCCGTCTGTCTCTTTCCCTTTCCTCCTCTTCTTTGTGCGCCGGCTGAACCACAGTTTCCCTCCGCTCTCAATGCCACCTCAGTTTCTCTTCTGGCACTGCCCAGAATGACTGACAGACATCGATTGAACCTGTCCATGTGTATCACTCTCTGTGCATCCCCACCCCCTCCTCCCCCCTCCTCTGCTCCCCATTGTGTTTAGGTGAGTGATGGAGACGAGAGAGTTGACCGTGGTAGCTGGTAGCTTTGTGGGTTTCCAGCTTCTCTTCTCAGTGGCCAGCCCGCCGCTCTCCTCCGTCATTACCCCAGGTTATGGACGGCTGCCTCCCACCAAGCTCACTGAATGGAACTCCAGGTACGTCACAGGAAAACGCTGCTCGTCAACAGGCCTTTTCTGTCCACCTGAGCTACCTTGTTTTTTTACAGCAGCGCTGTGCTGTAGTGCCATTGCTGGTAGTAATGCCGGCACATTTTAAGAGGAAAGGGAACCGATTATGTTGCATTACCAGCAGAATTGGATGTAATGCCTGTGGGAAGAAAATTATGGTGGACAATCATTGGTGAATTTTTTGCAGTGAAGACAGTAATTTCATCATTTGGGACTGTAATTTTCAGTGAATGTGAGTTAATTATTTATTTATTTTTTTTGGTAGAAATGCATGGAATTGATTCTGGACTGAGCATCAGTACTTGGTTGGTGGAAAATGGGGTATAGCCGGGGATTTCTTTCATGTATTCCCCCCTTTTAGGAGGTGATAAAACATTAAGAATTATCGATTAGGATAATAAATGTTGAAATATACTGTACAACAGTACCTCCTCTCCCATTTCTTAATATTTTGAAGAAGCCAGATCTCCTAATTTTTAAAAGTAGTCTTGAGAAATACCTCTCCAGGCTTTCTGAAGGTCTCACAAATGTTTTTTAGGACATTTGTTGCTTTTTCACCATTTTCAGAGGAATGGTTTTTGGGGGGTTTTTGAGCTGCTTAACACTGACCTGTGAATCATTCAAGCATCAAAAAAGGTCATGTTGTTCCATGGCGAATCGACCCGAGTAGGTACTAATGGAAAAGGGGCTTAAGAGTCCACAGCTATCTGTAAAACACGGTGGAGGCGCTGTCATGGTTGTGGCTGCAATCAGCCAGTGAAAACTGATTTATAACTGAAGAAACACAGTATCAGATTTTGATCCACCATGCAGTATCATCTGAAAAGCTTCTGATTGGGAACAGCTTCATTTTTCAACATGAAAATGATCCCAAACACAGTGCCAATACAGAAAATGCATATCGGGCCCGAAAAAACACACATCAGTCAGGCATGGATTGGCCCCCCAGAACCCGGATTTTAACATTATTGAAGCATGGTGGGATCAACTTGAAAGAAAGCTGAAGAAAAGGCAGCCAACATCCAAAGAAGAGCTTTGAATGTCTTTTAAGAAGCCTGGAGAACCATTCCTCAAGACTATTTAAAGAAATTACATGACTGCTTTCCAAGGACTTCAGGCTGTGCTGAAAAATAAAGGTGGTCAAACCAAATATTGACTTTTAAGCTTGTTAGTCTTTTTCTACCATGTTTTTAGCTTGTATATTGTATTTCCATGCATGTTTGTGCATATTTCAATAAATTGTAACACACACTCCCCTTATTCATAGCAAAATATAAAGTAATGATATTATTTTTATTTTTTTGTCATAAAATTGTACAAGTGAGATGCACTTCCTCAAAAAAAAAAAATCTGTAGCTGCAAAATGTTATAAAGCCTTGACCGAGCTAACCTCTGTGCGGTTCTGTTGAGATGAACCTCGATGTGCCTCAGGCCAGCTCATTGTTCTGCACAACTACAGCTGTGATGTGAACGGCTGGTGGAGCACAGAGTGGTTTAAAGTTTCAAACTTAAACCTCAGGGGTGAGGTTCAGGGGGCAATGTTTTGTAGTTGCGTAACATCTTTCACTGTTTTTATTTTCTTCCTCCATCTGTTTTCTGTAATGTACTGCTCAGAGATTACACTTTCTTCATGCAGCTGTGGTTTACATTAGCCTGCTTCTACCTAATTGAAAGAATGGAGTGCACTGACCAAGGAATCCAAGACAAGTCAAAGGCAAAGCGCTGATGGCCCACTCTAGAGTGGTCTGCTGTTGTGTAACAGCCAGCTCTCAGTGTGTCAGTGTGCTGTTTATGTAACCACAACTTAAGTGCAGGGAGAGAAGGGAGGAAGCACTTCTAAGGAAAAGCAGTATGGTTGTGAGCAAAAAAGTGTGTCCTGTACTTTTATTTCATGTCTTTTCTGTTTTTCCTCATCCTCTTATTTATTATTGCACGTCCTCAAATAGAGTAACTGCATCCAGAACTTTCTGTAACAGAAAATAACTCAGTGGCTAGTCATACTTTTAAGACTGGGCTTGTACAGCAGCCTGCCATCGAGCCAGTTTTGGCCAAGGCTCAGGCTGGCAGCTGCAGTCTGTGGATAGAGGCTGCATGGTGACACTGGAGGAATTGTGATTGTGGTAGAGAAGAGATAAGACCCACTGGACCTCTGGAGTATCTCTTCAGTGGCCCACATAACTACTCCAAAGGTCAAAGAAAGTAACTTACTTGAACACAGTGCATAAAATAAATGCAGCTATCATAGACTAAACATAAAACTTGGGCATAGTCATCATGAACTCACCCAGTAGGTTCTAGTCTCTGCATTTTGAAGCCAAGTGTTAAATTTGGGAAACTAAAATGCTGTTTTGTTTTTTGTTTTGTTTTTCAAAAATGATCATATTGGGACCAGATATTGGAAATCCAAGAGTCCGTAAACTATATGCAATGCTACCCACAGATATCTCCTGATTGGTCCTAAGTAACAGACCAATGAAAAAGCAGATTTTACTTTTATTTGTTTTTTTGAGCTGTATGCACAGCAGACGATAATCCAACAATGTCAGTGTTAAATATATATATATATATTACGTGTTATATATAATATAAGCACCTTGAGGCAACTGTTGTGTAATGTAATAAAACTGAATTGAATTAGGTGACTCTGCTCAACTGGCTGCCAGCTGGTTGTATTCCTATAAAACAGGAAGGTTGCCGAGTGCAAATGTAATGGTGAAATATGAATTTCTGTCTATGTAGACAGAAACAGATACGTGAATTTGATGATTAGCTGTATTATCAGAAACAGATTGCATGTAATTGCCAACTTGACCCCATTCACTATCAGACTGATGGCTGATTTTAGTGATAGTGTTGATATGTTTGATAATCTCATCTTTCAGCAAAAAATAACTGAAGTGAGAGAACTTTATCTTATTAATGTAACAGATACTGACAAAGTTAAACTTTGAGAACATAATTTGCAGTTTAAAAAAAGGGGATAAATCACAGTATAAGTTATTGTAATTCTCAACGGAGTTCAAAATGTCATGTGTTTATACCATATCATGGAGTGTCTGGTGATTGCCACCTGTAATCGGGATTGACTCACTTTTGGAGCTAGCTCCACTTTTTTAGCTCTTTCAGCCCATAGCTTGGTAAACCTGTACACTATGCATGTATGAACAGATGTGTAAAAAAGACTGATGATTGTTCCTGACTGTAAACCTATTAATCTGTTGTCACGTTCACTAATTTGCTCTTGTAATATGTGTGCGTGTGTGTGTCTCCCAGGTTAGTGTCCACAGTGCACGCGTTGATTGTGGGCTTGTTCTGTTTGTACATCCTGTGGTACGATGACGCAGTCAACGCCAACCCTGTCTGGTAAGAGGAACAGAAAGGAGACACTCATGCATAAAAAAACAAAAAAACCCAAAAACATCCATGAATATCATGTCACATGCACGAAGTAAGACAAGATTTGGAGCATGCAGCCATATGCTGTCCACATACTGTGCAACCATATAAACAAAAAATACTGAAGTACTGTTAAAGCCGTGGGTGCTTTTGGGAGAAACCTGTGTTCCCACATCTGCCTTTTCAGACTGGCAGCCGGAACTTTCTCACACGGGGAAGGGTGGAAACTGATGAAGGGATGAAGAGGGAGGTGGGGGGGGGGGGGGGGGGGGTGAAAAATCGTCGGGATTGGTAGTTAACACCTTTTGGCGTGACAGAGATGGCATTGCCTTCATGAGAACGAAAGAGGGAAGGCGAGAGGATGGATCTAACGTGTCAGTGGAGTCTCCAGAGAGTTGTTGATTTGGAGGATTTAGACTTTGATTTTTGTCTTCGCTGTCTTCTCTGCCTTCACTCTCCCCACCAGTGCTGACTCTGTTATTTGGATCAGTGAGTCCTGAAAAAGAGAAATGGCAATCTCTCGCTCACTCTCCCGCTCTCTCTCCCCCCATTTCTTTCTCCTTTCTAATATCTCAATCAGTCTTTTGAACACATCTCTCCTCAGCTTTTGCTCTCTCATTTCTCTCACTTACAACACCACTTCCTTCCCCTCTCTCCTCTTTTTCCTTACCTTCTGTTTCACTTCCTCTCTGTCTGTCCAGCAGACTAGAAATCCCACCAACAAGATGCCTTTTTATAGCAAACAGCAGCAGCTAACCCCCCCCCCAAGAAAAAACTGAAAAAACAACAAAACAAAACCCACTCTCCCTTTCCCTCGCACCACCAGCCCTCACGATCCTCCCCCTGCCTTGGGTTGCCGATTACACATGTCTAGCTGTCATATCAATGCAATGCTCTTTTATTCTGTTTCTCTGGCTAGCATCGCTGATGGAGCAAAGAAAAAGGGGAGAAAACAGCGGTGGGTAGGGGCACGGGCAGGAGGGATGAGCTCTCCCTCCCTCCTCCTGCTGCTAGTCTTCATCTGCTCAGTGTTCAAGTGCTTAATACCTTACCAGCATTTTTGGGGGGTTGCAGGCAGGATTTTTCTTCTATCACTTCTCTGAGACACCCCCCCTTGAGCAAAAGGTGACAGTCATTTCTCTGCTGAAATGGTTTCTTTGTTCCAACTTTATTTCTTCACTGCTATTGTTGAATTTCTTAAGCTTATTCCCGTCACCCACCGGCACCTAGCCGATTCCCAGAAGTATCCTAATGCCTTTTTAAAGCTCATCTCATTTCAACACCGGAGTGGAGCAAGCCTTAATTCTCCAGTCAATCTGATTGCGCTACAGCATCATTAAGGCCTGTCACACAGCAGCATTGTTCTCTCGGCGCTGTGCTAAATGGTGGCGCAGCGGTCAGAGCCAAACTGTTAGAAGCCTGCTTTGTTTGCAGCTGCTGCTCAGGCTCTTTCAGGTTGTCACTCCGACTGTCAGCACAGCTTCGGCTGTTATCATAATCCTTTCGGTTAACAAGCGCCGTGTCTGCCGGCCTCGCCCCTGCTGCATTTCTTGATTGGCTTATCTGGACTTGAACTTAACATGTGCATGACAGTCTGAGGAGAATGGAGGACCGCATTTCAGTTTGTTTAAAATTTAGGACAACCTGAGATATATTTTTGACACTAAAGGAAAATAAGCAACAAAAAAAACAAGATAAGGTGAAAGTGCATTTTGTCAAATCTCATTTAATAAATAAAAAATGATATCTAGTCCTATAAGTCTTCAGATTAGGAGAGTATAAAGTCAGACAGACAGATTGTCTCATTGTTTGTTTAACAAAACTAAGCTAAAATGCAGATGCAGTGTGTAAGAAAATAAGTACTCCCTATGAGTCACCAACTTGTAGAACCACCCTTAGCACCAATAACTTAAAGCATTAGGATTGTATCAGTCTCTCACATTGTGGTTGAAGGGTGTGCTTTCTTTTTACCATGACTCTTTGTTCTCGTGTTGCTTTTCCAGGATGTTTAGTTCAGCAAGTCTTTCTGGTGAGATTTAGAAAACTCAGGCACTAATAGTTATCGGCTTGATAAATCAAACCAGTTTATTCACAGCGCTGTAAAAGAGGTGGTGTTGGCAGCATATGGGCAGGTCTACTGGCAGGCAGCAGACTGGCATATTGTACAAACAACAACCAAGCTATAATATTAGAAAACTGCAAAGAGGTTAATCACATAATACATGCTCCGCAGCAACACAGTTTTTGCAGCCAAAGTATCAGAGTGTGAGTGTGTATCTTCTGCTATAAAAAACTGCTATATTCATTCATTCTTTCATACATACAGTTTAAAGCACTTTAGGCCATCGGGAAGTCTGGAAAGGCATTAGTGGCTGTAAATGCAATCTTATTTGTATCACTGCTCCATTATTAAGATACAGGATTAGAAAAGGGTGTTCCATTAAACTAATGTTTTGCTTCAATGTATTCTCATGGTATTCAAATAGGTTTTAGCCTTCTTTCAGCTGCTGTCCCAATGTTGTTTACACAAGTAAACACCCTTAAATAAATAAAACAAAAAAACAAACAGAATTTAGACTGTTAAACAGGCTGACTTGCTTATTTTAGAAGCAGCAAAGAAAGGTCCCTGTATTGAGAAGACAGAGGCTTTAGGTGCTGGCTAATAACTCAAATCCCTCATGTGACCTTGCAGGAATGATTATGTCATTTAACGGTGAACTGATTGGTCAGTAGGTAATTGTTATGTGCATGTTGATGTCTTATCTCATGCACAACCTTTTTGGGAACAGGTTAGGTTTGCCACAGAAGTTACCACAGCGATTTAAGCAGATAAGATGAGAACTGCATTTGTAACACTGAAAATCCAGAGGTAAACCTCAATTCACCTTACCTAGCAAGGCCCCAAAACCTAATTTATAACACCAGTGTCTTTCCTGAGGAGAGTCAGCATGTCATCATCAGCATCCGGCCCCATTTGTTTGCAAGTTTTATTCAAAGAAATGCAACCCTGCAGCTAAAGGATGCTGTTGCTGTTAAGAATCAATAGAGGTGATGAAAAGAGAGGTCCATCAACTGTTTTTGTCATCCACCTGTGTCCCAGCATTCCTTTCTTTTCTATGGTTTTGGTAAATTTGTGCATTTTTCTTTCTCCAAACTTTATTCAAATGTGTTTTATTGTTGCAGTTAAAATGCTTTATTCCTTAGATTTCCCTTAAGGGTCTGCATGCACAACACTAAATGTAAATATCTGAATGAAGAGTCAAACTATCGATAGAGCAAGCAAGTAGAAAGCTAATCAGATTCATATAAGATGTCAGTGTTACCAACATTATCATTCATTCATTATAAGAGACCTGGAGTTGAGTTTGTTTGCCTCCTGGTTGTCACAGGTTGAATAAAAGTCCTTGAGAATCATCAACCAATGAATTATATTTCTTTCTTTTGATCTTACTGGAATTAATATTTAAATCAAAAATTGACATTGAATGGGACTTCCAGTATCCATCTCATCAGGTGGAAATGAAAAGCGCTTTCATACATCATAGTTTCACCAATGTGCTGCTATCCGTTTCCCCATTCTTGAACGTCAAAACTTTTAAAACCTGCTTCCCTGAATCTAAACCGTAACCTGTTGAAACACAGCCAGCTAGTTCGTGATTTATCTGTAGATCTAAGTTGTTGATAACTCTGGAATGACTTAATGAAGTGTTGCAGACTAAGACTAACAAAAAGTCTAAGATCCACTGAAAGTCAGACCCTTCTATTCCCATGCTGTCATTTGTCACCACAGCTCCAGATCAGCTGCTGGTGAACATAACTCATAGCCCAAGCACCACCACACTTCCCCCACTTAAGTCTGTGTGATTTTTGGCCATCTGAGACGAAAGTTGTCAGAGTTAAAAAGCAGAACAGTCAATGATTTAGAAGAGCGGCAGTCAAGGGTATGCAGCTGTCACAGAGATAAATGATACAGAGTACAGTACAGACGCTACAGGTAATTCTATACTTTGATGTGCCAGTGAGGATGTTCTGCTGAGCAAAGACAAACTCTGAGAGAGTTAGGTTTTTTCTCAAAGTTGCGTTCAGTAAGAATATAGAGAGTTTATTTAAGTTTCCTTTGCGCTTTTCTTTGAACCACATATAAGCTCAAGGTTCATTCTGATTACTACGTATCTGTAGCCCCATGGAAAAAGCCTAGCAAACTGCTAAGTGCATCTGGTGCTCGTAAATGACTTCTACTTGCCACTTAACAGCATATCATTTGGCTTTGAGTGTCTTTTGTATAATGCCTGTTGAGTTGGCGCTATTGTAGTACTTCCTGTTTAACATTCTACGTATCTTTCTAGGCCAAATTCCAGTCAGTTAACCATTCATGAAGAGACAACGTGAATATACTGTAGATCTGATTAATCAAAGTTGAGTCACACGGATGAGATTACCAAGAAGTATGTGGATTTTCAGGCTCCCTGACAATGACATTATCAGGCACGTTGCATTTCTGTCAGAGTGTGATGAACACTTTCCAACAAAACAGGCCGAGGCCATGTTTGTTACATTCATACACGTATACTCATGGAAACAATAATGTTGGGAAAATGTTAGATTAGTAAAACGACAATGGGGTGGGGTTTTTTTGTCTTTTCAAATAAATACAAATGTTTGAGCAGTTAAGTCTTAAACTCAAACAAATACTCTTCTTTGACCTGACTGTTCATTTTGGACTGACATCAATGTGTCTGTGTGTTTCTATCACATACATTTCATTAGATATTAAAATGGTATGGTAAAAATAAAATCTTACATGTAACTTGGTTATATCTCCAGATGTTCAATGCACTTAGTTAAAGTACTTATTTTAAAGTGAGGCAGTCGAAGCTTGGAGATAAAGAATACATTTTGAAAGCAGTGAGCCCAGGGTCATGTTGTTGGTGTGGGTACAGTGTATAGTAGAGCATGTGCTCTGTGCTGCGAGCTCCTGTTACACAAGCAGTCAGCCAGTCATTTGCTATGCGATACTTGTGGCTGATACAAGGATCGGATCTCTATTGAAGCAGACATACCTCCATTGTTATTTTAAACCGATGTTATTTGCAAGGACACTTTAATGGTAAGAGCAGCAGGTCACAGGTTTATGGCCCGAACTACTGATTGCTGATTAAACAGAAACGCTGTCAAACGGGAGGAGAGGAACACGGAGTGCCAGCATTGTGGATATCTTTTCTGCAGAGCTATCTGTCATGTTATGGATTCACCACAAGCATTGCTCTTGTCAAGACAGTCGCCTTTATACCGCACACAACAGTATCACAGCAAATTCATCAAGGTTAGACAGTCGAACTTAAATGACCTTTCAGTTTTAATCTGCTAAGAAATGCAAGAAGTGCAGTATTGCAGACTGTCGATCAGGGAAGCAAGACAACGTAACATATTTAACTCATAAACTGAAGCTTCTTCTTCCTGTTTTTTTTTTTTTCTTACTTTCTTTTTTTAAAATCAGGATCAGAAATTTTATTAATCCCTAAGGAAATTATGTGGTTACTGTTTCTCCAAGACACTGTAACAGACTGAGCTACATTTTAATAATACAATATATTACAAAGTTACAAAATATTAAAATGTCTCTAATATACAAGTAGTTTAATTATAAGTTATTTTGACTATACAGGATGTGCAAAACGGTGCAACTATCGCACTGTGTGCTGTGCATTAGGTGGAGGAGTTGTACAGGCAGATATCCACAGCCAGCAATGATTTCGTGTGTTGTTCAGTGGTGCATTTGGGTAATCTCAGTAATCTCAGTCTCTCACTGATTGAGCATTATGGCTTTGTGCCTTTACACTGTATCCTTTGCTTTTCCACAGGGGTGACCCCAGTCTCGTCAAACTAAATGTAGCCATAACCTGTGGTTACCTCCTATATGGTGAGGTTTAATTTTTTCTTCTGTCTTTGTTTCGTTTTTTTGCATATGTGGCTGCCATTACCCTTCGTGTGTGTGCAAGTAGAGCTTTGTATTGTAATCAAGTTACTGTAGAGTCGGATAGTTTTAATTAAATGTATATTACATGCTATGAAGGATACCTGTGATACGTGAATGCATAGGAGCATCGAAAAAGGACAAAATATTTGACATGTCCGACTTGGAAGAAAGTCATTATTTTGTCTTATCATGTGTCCTTGAATTGGAATTTAAAACACTTCTAATGTTTCCTTCAAAATTCAAACCAAAGGGAGACACACCTACACTTTCTTTTAATAAAAAACAAAAACCCTGTACATTAAGTGAAAGAATAGTCAGGAGTCCTTCATTCCCTGGTTGGTGCACTCCAGGTCATTTGTGAACTTGCAACATCAGTTTTGTTCTCCTCTGCAGCCTTGGAGAGCTCAGCATTGACATTTTGCAGGTTCTTTACTTTACAATATAAAGTGCCTCGAGGCGATTGTTGTGATTTAGCGCTATATAAATAAAAATTCTAACTTGCATAGAATCTGCAGAACAGGACAAAAACTATTATGAAGTTAATAATAATAATAATGGTAACTTTATTTTTATAGCCCTTTTTAAATGCTTCAGTTTAAATAAAATAACACAAAAGATAAGCGCATGTCTAAAACATACAAGCGCATACTTCCATACATTCAAAGAACAAAGAACATGGGCTGAAGAAGAAGAAAAACTTTTCCTAAAGAAGGTTTAGGAGTTTTTGCCTCTGGTTTTAAAATAGATGTGGAAGTGTGAAACAGTTAGGAGACATTGATCAGTGATTGCAGGCTGAGTGCTCGATTAAGGTCTTAGCAGGTCTGCTAGAAAGGCAGAACCCGGCCATGTAGGGCTTTATATGTCATTAATAAAAAATGAAGAATGAATTTGAGAATATGAGATTACAAATTCAAATATTGGTAAAATACAGTTCTTAACAGGTGACTTGATATTGCTGGATAGCTGGACAATGTAATGACTGATCTTAGAGAAGCTGTAAGAGCCAAACACAAGAACCTCAGTTTTGCCAGTATTGAGATGGCAGAAATTTAAAGACATCCAACAAATAACAGCAGTGAAGCATTCCCCGAGATAGGAGAGGCTCTTCAGGTTGTTTGACTTAACAGAAAAATGTATCATCAGCATAACAGCGGTCGGAAATCCCTGTTAGAAGCTATTTAATAGATAACCCAGGGGTAACATATATACAGAAAACAGAACTGGACCCAGGATTGAGCTCTGTGGAACCCCTCATATGAGGGGCTCTGATAAGGACATACAGTTAATATGAATTCTGGAGTATCTGTCAGATAAGTATGATGAGACCATTTAGGAGCTAGGCCTGAGATACCAAACCAGTTCTGTAATAAGAATGGGATTATCAGTGGTGTCAAAGGCTACTATTACATACAATTCCACATTTTAGGAAACATAACGAAGATCTGTCGTGGAAAAAACTTAGATAACAGAACTCCATGACACAACTGAGCAGGTTGATAGCAACTAGCAAGGGTTTAATTGTGACCTGATATAATTGATCTTAACAGACAACAGAAGAGGAAAAAAAATGTTTTTCATATTCAGCCGAGGGCTGGGCAGGAAAACCAGACTGAGCAGGATCAAGGAGTCTGTTCGTGGTGTTAAACAAGAACCTTGGACTGTTTTTCATGCTAATTAAGCCAAAGAAGTAGACTGGTTAGTAACTGGTTCCGTCATGAAAAGGCAGTGATTTGTATTTTTCTATCTCAGCTTTATTACAAATATAATTGACACTTGGTAAGAGAGTTAAAAATGTAGCCACTGTGTTCTCATTAAAGATCCTAGGCTTTATGATTCTCCTCTTTGAAAACGATACTGGCTGCAAAACTGTGGCAAAAATATTACACTTATGGTGAAACAGTAAATATGACATACAGAGAGAGTCTAAAGATGAGCCAAGAGTAAAACAACCAACCAGGATGTGCCCACCATTGTGTGCGACCATTAACATGTTACACTAAATGAAATGCCTTGTGTAAAATTCAGTTAGAGGAATCAATGCGCAAGTTAAAGTCGCATACCAAAATGAGCTTGTCAAATTTAACAATAGATGAAGGTCGATTGGGGAACTCATTTAGGGAAGTTGGTAGCAGATTTAGGAGGTCAGTAGATAATAATATAGCAAACTAGATTTTCACAGTCAATTTTGAACAATAGTAATTTGAATGAATGAAAAGAAGTGGGAGGAAATGGAACACAATTCAAATTACCCTTGTAAACCACAGCGATTACCCCACCACAGCCTGAGCGCCTCAGGGCATTCAAGAATTTGTAGTTTAGTCAGCAAAATTCCACAAGGGGGCAGTAGTCCTCTAGTTTGAGCCAAGTCTCAGTGGTACAGAAGATGGTAATAAACCATTAATAATAAATGATTCATTAGTAAAAGTTCAGTCGTTTCAAAAGAGCAATAACTGCTGACTTGGGAGGCTGGGCTTTGTCAGGCACGGTAATTAGACTGTTAGGCCTGGTTGCAGAAATTTGTGATGACTAATAAATGGTTTCCATCTGCGCCTTTATAATTACAGGGATTGATAAAACTGTGGCATCAGTCGAATATGAGATTGGGTAATTAGCAGGGGAATCTGTGGAATCTGCAGCCAAATAATGGCCACATGAGTGGGTTGGTCATCGTGATGCTAGGGAAATGTCCAGAGCAAGCTCATTATCAGCGACTGAACTTTTGAAAATACTAGGAAAGGAAATTGTCCACTAGTATACCAATTTGATTGTTCTCTCAAAAGAATGAGAAATAAAAACATATTTCATGGACTTTTTGCTTAAGTCCATGAAAGTGCTGCACGAGTGCTGTTGAAAATGGAGGACCATAGATGTCTCCTTCAGTTTCTTCTGCAAATTTGTGTTCTTTGTTCTTTTGTTCTTGCTCTCCTTATCTTCAGTTGCTGTCTTATGACTTGATTCTAGTTTTGAATGTATTGTCAGCTCTCCAAGTTTTGTAACAAGTTTTAATTCATCTGTTGATGAATTGATTATGTCAAAGTCATTTTTAGAGTCAAAGTCCTGAGTATTCTGTGTTCGTGTTAGACTCAGTTCAGCCTGGGCTCTGTTCTTTTCTTCTAAAGTCAGCTGTGTAATGTTTTGCTAGCTTAATGACCAATGTCTCCACCTGCTCTCCAGACCTGGTGCTGCTAGCATGTAATTGGAGCACTATGGGGGACAGCTTTTTCGTTTGCCACCACTTGGCGGCGCTCTATGCTTACGGATATGTTTTGGTGAGTGGCTCATTTTTCTGAAACCCGATTCTTGTTGTTTTTGTGTCCTTCTGCTTCCTAAATTCCTCATCATCTGTGTTGTTTGCTCTTCGCAGACCCGTGGTGTCCTTCCCTACTTTGCCAATTTCCGTCTCATTTCTGAGCTATCCACACCATTTGTGAACCAAAGGTGAGTCATCCTCACTTGTGAATATGTACTTGTCAGGATCCCCTTCACACCATATGGCAGACATATCTTGTTCCCTGACATTTCCTAATGGCTCTTTCTCCTCCAGGTGGTTCTTCGAGTCATTAAAGTACCCACGCTCACACCGGTTGGTGGTATTAAATGGGGTTGCTATGGCTGTGGTGTTCTTCCTGGTGCGCATTGCAGTCATGCCATCCTACTGGGCCAGTGTATTCGCCACTTTTGGCACTCCGGAGTTTGAGCGGCTGGGCTTGGGTGCCCAGGTGGCATGGATCACCTCCTGCATTGCCCTGGATGTCTTGAACATTATTTGGATGTACAAAATCACTCGGGGCTGCTACAAGGTCCTGACTGGGAGAGGAGGGCGAAAGGTCAAGGTAGAAGCAGAGGCGTCATCTTCCTTAGATAAGAAGCACACAAACAACCATACAGACTGAGGAGGTGTAGAGCACAGCATTTGTAGACACAGACAATAAGCATGGAGGGAGGCTGGACAACCAGGAACCTTGCTCTTTTAATAAAGCCTCAGCTTCCCTCTCACCCTCAATCTCAGCCCCTGATCTTCTTGAAGTCAGCTAGTGGCCTGGGCTAAGAGTCCTCAGGTTCTCACCCTGGCACAGGACAAGCACCAGCGTTTGCAACCTTTTTCACTGACAGATTAGTATCCTGCTGGGTGATAGCTTTCAGACAACAAGGTAGAGCTCAAAAGAACACTTTTAACTCTGTCTGTTACTCCTGTCACTACCACCAATCCTCTGTCATCTCCCCCACAGCCTGCTCTCACACTCAACTTCAGCCAAAGCCCAATCCTCTGAAGTGCCTGTGGGAGGGGGCGTGAGGGGAAGGGGAAAAAACAGGAAAGCAATAACAGTAGAGGAGTATATCGCCCATTACATTACTGCTTAGCCCCCTTCAAAAACAACAAAAAAAAACAATCGCACTCACTTTTGCTCCTGAACAACTCGAGGCTTCTTCATCATTCTCCGTCCACACTCGTGGCCTGCAGAGTGACTAATTCATCCGTCAGACCCGTACAGTGTTTGTGAATCTATAGGGCTCTTGTCTTAAACTCATCAAACCTCACAAAAAAAGAGACAGGAAAAAAAACACCATGAATGCCTCTTCTACAGTATCACCTGCTGTGGCCTCCTCGTAACAAGTGGCACCTACCTGTATCACCAGCCATGCCCCTCCAGCCTCGTTATCATTTGGAGTTTCTATGTAAAACACAGAATATGCATGCAGGAGAGACAGAGACTCACTCTCTTACACCTTTCGCTCCTAACAGGACAGTTTTGCCTTTTCAGTATTCTTCATGATGGCTCTTTTTTTTTTTTAATTTAACACTTGTCATTAGCAATCAAAGGAATATCATTTTCATTGCAACCCTCTGCCTCACTGGGTAGGGCTCCACAATTGAGCTCCAGCATTTTCGTTCTACCTCTCCCCCTGCCTTACAAAAGAGTCTGTCGATCCCGTCCTCATGAATTAATCAGCTGTTTATTTTTTTCCCTGTTAAAAAAGGAAAAAAATGTTTTTATCTTTCAAGACTTCATCTGTGTCAACATTACTGGCTCAGAGCGACTTCTCCCTCTGTCTTCAGAGCTTATCCCAGCCAGTGCAGTGCAGCAGAGCAGCTTTGCTAAGCTGCTTCTAATTGTGTTGTTTATTGTTTGTTTGTTTGTTTGTTT